CCTTAAACTTCCGAAGCAACTGCTCTATCACTTGTCTGGTCCTCATCTGGCTGTTGATTCTTATTTTGGTTTCTGACCCAAAAGCCGGAGTGAAAACTGATGTCTGGGAACAAGAACAGCCACACCACGGCCTGAGCCTGAGGCACACCTCGCTGGGCAGGGCTCCCTGCCCCTCAGGTGACAAAGCCAAGCCTAAAATTTCCTACCTCGTGGTTGTAGAAGTGGCCATTGATGGAGAACCTGTGAGTTTCTACTTCTGTCCTGGTGATGGTGGGGAGCTTGGTCCTCCTGCGCACGGCCGCGGCATCGCTGCTGCTGCGGGGCAGGGTGGCACAGTCGAGCTCCTGCTCCCTCCTGGACCTGAGAGTGTGACTTTCATAGCATGGATAACCTGGACAGAAGAGAACCACACGTCCTGTGCAGCTGCCAGCACCCCCAGAGGAGGGAGGCTCTCAGTGAAGGGCTTCATTTACTGTTTACTATTTATTATTTTTGGGGGGGTGGAGCAGGAAAGGAACAAGGCAGAGGCATACGATGAAGAATAGGGGTTGCAGGGGTTGCAGTTTGCTGATTTATTTGTTTCACTGCCCTGAGACTGCCCGCGTGGGGCTGGCTCCGCTTAAGTGCCAACAACGCGGGACTTGGAACCCCCCCCAAAAACATACAACTTTGTCTCCACTTCTGAGGGGCGAAAAAAAGAGAAAAGCCTTATTTATTTATTTATTTATTTATTTATTTATTTATTTATTTATTTATTTATTTATTTCAGTATCCTAAAGCGGGCCAAAAGAGCGCGGTGCCCCCAAACAGGGGACTCGGTCTCTGTTTCTCAAGCATGAACACGCAGGACGCTCTCTGAGCCCCCAAACACGGGACTCGCTCTCTCTGTCCAGGTGTCCGCCTCAGCCGAGCCCCTTTCCGAGCCCCTTTCTTCACCTGGAGCCGTCCCGGGGATCCCGCGGTTCCCGGGGTACCGGGGGAGCGGCCGGGGCCGGGCCGGCCCGCGCAGCCCCGCCCCGCGCAGGCGCCGCTGGCCGCGGCCATGGCGGAGAAGGCGCAGAAGAGGTGAGTGAGTCCTGTTCCTGCCGCGATCCCTCCCGGTTCCTCCCCGATCCCCCTGCCACGGCCACCCCGGGACGCGGCGTCCCCTCCCGGTTCGTGGGCGGACCCCCCGGTGACCGCCCCATCGCTCCCCGCAGCGTGAAGATCGCGCCGGGCGCCGTGGTGTGCGTGGAGAGCGAGATCCGCGGGGACGTGACCATCGGTAAGGGCCCTGTCCCCCGGCTCGGCCCCGGCCCCGGCCCCGTCCGTTCCGTCGGGGCGGGCGCGGGGTGACGCCGGGCTGTCCCCGCAGGTCCCCGGACCGTGATCCACCCCAAGGCCCGCATCATCGCCGAGGCGGGGCCTATCGTCATCGGAGAGGGGAACCTGATCGAGGAGCAGGCGCTCATCATCAACGGGTCCGTACGACACCCTGGGAGGGCTTAAAAAACCTGGGGAGGTAGAGTTTGTTGAAAAAAAAAAAATCACCAGACTTCGTGCTTTTGTGTACACGTGTGGCACTATGGCTTGGGGGGAAGCCACAGAGTCACAAGGCCTGTCCAGCCTGGCCTTGGACACTTCCAGGGCTGGGGCAGCCACTATTGCCTTGGGGAGCCTATTCCAGTGTCTTACTCCCATCACAGTAAAGATTTTCTTACCTTTACATAACCTAATTTTCTCCTCTTTAAGTCCGTGCCCATTATTCCTTGTTCTGTCACTCCAGTTCCTGACAGAGTCCCTCTCCAGCTTCCTTGAAGGCCCCCTTCAAATACTGGATGGTTTCTAAGTCCCCTTCTGAATCCTTCTCAAGCTGACAGAGTAGAAGAATCCTAATCCAAAGCAGTCTCAAAATTCTGATAGTCCAGCTCAGTTGGGTGTGGTATCTGTGGCTTCAGTCTGTCCCGAAGTTGACCTGCCACACAGAGCACTATCATTGTTTATCTCAGACGTGGAAATCTGTTCTTCCTTCCCGCAGGTACCCAGAAAATATAACCCCAGAGTGCGAAGATGTGGAGCCCAAGCCCATGGTCATTGGCACCAACAATGTTTTTGAGGTTGGGTGCTGTATCCTGGCTGTGCAGTGACAAACCATCTGGCACATTGTGCTTCTGGATCTCTCCACGGGGGGGAGACATCTCTGGGGCTCTGTCAGGGTTCAGATAGCCCAGGGCTGGGTGATGCTTTGAAAATGGCATCAGGGTTTTTCACCTGTTGAAAAAAAGCAAAGCCTTTTACAATTCTACTTAACACAGACCCGTAGATTCCCAAGCGATGAAGGTGGGAGACAACAACGTCATAGAATCCAAAGGTAACTCGGCTCGGTGCCTTTGGCCCTGCTGTAAATGCTGTGGGGACAGCTCTCACAGGGACTCCTCCCTCTGTTCTCCCTGGCAGCGTTTGTAGGCAGGAATGTGATCCTGACGAGTGGCTGCATCATCGGGGCCTGCTGCAACGTGAACACCTATGAGGTGATCCCAGAGAACACCGTCATCTACGGGGCCGACTGCCTGCGCCGCGTGCAGACCGAGCGGCCTCAGGTGTGTGTGTGGGTGTGGGGGGCATGGGGACACACTGGCTGCCACCTCCTGTCCCCCTCGGCTGTGCCCTCACCTCCCCTGCCCTCCCTTTCCAGCCCCAGACGCTGCAGCTGGATTTCCTGATGAAGATCCTGCCCAACTACCACCACCTGAAGAAGACCATGAAGGCCGCATCCACCCCTGTGAAGAGCTGAGCACCCACCTCATGTTCCAGTGCCTGGGAATCACTACACACTCTGGGAAGAGTCCGGTCTCTACATCCCTCATTCCATCAAACCATTTCTTCCTTCTTTGTGTCATTTATTCATCTTTCACCGGGAATCTCAGACCTGCATTGAGTCTGTTGTCTCTCACACATTAACTCTATTGTTCGTGCTCTGTTTCGGGAATAAAATACCTCCTGTTCCCGTGTCCGAGGGAACCGCAGCCCTTGGACTGTGCGGGGTGCGGTGCCTGGGTCACACAGGCGCTGTCGGGGCGGGGACAGCCCCGGTGCCACCTGTCCCGTCGAGCCGGCAGAGGGCGGTGTGACCCCGCGCTCCACGGGGATCCCGGCCTCGCATCCCGGATCCACGCAGGCCCTGGGGTGGGAAAGGCTCCATGCACCCGGTGCCACCCTCCCCCCCTTCCCCCGGAGGCTGCTGCTGCTCGGGTTCCCTCCCGGAGGACCCAGGGCAGAGCTCAGCCTTGTCCACTCGTTCCACTGGAGCCTGGGGACTCACTGCGATTCCCAGCTGTCCCACCAGAGTCCCCAGCTGTTCACAACTTCCCCTTCTATCCCTGTGTGACACAGTCCAGCATTGTGTCCCAGCTCAGATGAACATCGATGCAGCAGAAATTCCTGCAGGAAAGAGAGAAGGAGGGGAGAGGATGAGCAACTACCACAGAGGAACCCCAGTTTTGGTGGGATATGGGGTTTTGGGATTGGGGGTTTCATGGCAAGGAAGCAGTGCAATAGCTCCTGGAGCAAATTAGATTTTCTCCCCCAAGTCCACTTTCATGGGTACAAAAAAATCCAAACCTCCCCTTTTTCCAGTTTGTGATTCCAACCTGGGTTCCAGCGCTGCAGGGGAGCTGCAGCTCTTCCCCAAAGCTGAGTCCAAATAAGGGTTATGAGGATTGTCCCACCCGCTGTCCAGCCAGAGCTTTTTGTGCGGATGCCTTTGGAAGGGGAAAACAAAGGGAGTTAAACACATCTCTAAATTCTTATTCTATTTCTCTCCTTGCTGAAAACCTACTCCAAAAGCCAGAGGCTCCAGCAGATTTGGGTGACTACATCAATCCCTGTGCTCTAGATTCCCTCTGGGGTCAGCTGCCCTTGTAGCCAAACACTTCCCACTCCCCCAAATCCATCTGGTGCAGCTTATTCCCACCTCCCTCCCGGCTCGAGAGCTTCTGCCCTGTGAATCGCTGCTGCGGGCAGGCTGCAAACCTGTGGGTGGCCGGGCTGTGTCCCCTGGGCAGCCGGCAGGACAGACGGGCAGGTGCCCCAGAGCTGTGTCGGCTGCTGAGGCGCAGAAAGGCACGCGGTGACCTTAAGTGCTCGTTGAGAAGGAGCCCTGTGTCCCGGGCGGGATGTCCTCGGTATCATCTCCGGCCCCGGGCACTGTGACCAGGCGGCACCTGGGCTGGACACAGCTGCTGGTCCCCACCCCAGGGTCTCCGTCACGCTGCTGCGGGGGGAGCGCAGCCCTGCAGGAGCCCTGGGGCTGAGCAGGGCTGGAACGACCCAAAACCGAGCTCTAGAACGAATGCCAGGCTCAGCAAAAGCCCAGCCTAGGCATGAAGCCTAAATGTGGTCCCCGGGCTGGGCAGGGAGGGGTGGAGCCCCCAGATGGGGCTGGTTGGGGTGATGAGCCCCTGCTAGTCCTTCTACCGCCCCCAGCCCTACATTGGGTGTCCCCAGCACTGTCTCCTTCTCTGCCCTACAGCCGTGATGCATTCATGTCCCTGGGACTGTGCCCCATATCCCCAGCCTGGAGTTCTGTATCCTTAACCTTGTGTTCAGTGTCCCCAGGACTCTGTCCCCTCTGCCCAGCCCTGTCCTATATCCCAGCCCGTGTCCCATGTCCCTGAGACTGTGTCCCTCTCCCCATTCTTACTCCCCGTGTCCCCAACTTTGTATCCCCATGTCCCAGACTGCCTTCTGTGTCTCCAGTATTGTCCTGTATTCCCAACTCCGTGTCCTGTGGCCCCAGCTCTGTGTTCCCGGCCCTGCGTCCCGCGTTCCCATGGCCCTCCTCCCGTATCCCTGCGCTCCTCCATCCCCCCGCGGCCCGGCCCGGTCCGTCCCCGCCGCTCCGCCGCGCCCCCGCCCCGTCCCTCCCCGGCCGCGCCGCCCCGCCCCGGCCCCCCCGCCGCCGCCGGGATCAGCCCCCAGCACCGCCCGCCCGGACGCGGCTGCCGCCGGCGGGACGAGGAGCCTGGCCGGTCGCACCATGAGCAGCGTCCCCGCCGACAGGGAGGGCGGCCCCGCCGACACCAGCCTGCCCGAGGAGGAGGTACCGGGGGGACACACACACCGGGGATTTGGGGCGGAGGGGCTTCCCCCTCCCCACCCGCGGTTCCCGGGAGCTGCGCTCCGCGGGTGCCCACGCACCCCCGCGGGATGGGGGATCCGCGCCGCGGGGCTCCCGCCGGCTCCCGGTACCCGGAGCTGCTGCGGGGGGGACAGGGACGAGGGGCGGGAACGCATCCCCGCACCCCGGGACGCTTCTATTCTCCGCCCGCATCTCCCTGGGGCTCGCCGCAAGCGCCCCTCCGCCTCGCCGGAGGGAACCACGCGAGACACGGATCGCCCCGCGGGGCGTGGGGAATAAACCAGGCTCCCTCCGGTCCCGCTGCCGGTGCCTAGTGCTGCCGGTGCCCGTGGGTACCGTGCATCCAGCGGCCGCGCATCTCTTTCCCACGGTTCTCACCCCAAAAATGTCCGAAACGCTCCCATCCCCTCGGGAGAACAACTCCACACCCCGCCACGGTGAGAGCTGGTTTTCTTAATTCCAGCCGCAAAGTTCCTGGTTTTGCCCGTGACCTTGAGATGGGAATTTGGACTTTGTGAGGGTGAGAGCGGGAAGATTCCGATCTGAGATCGCCTCCTCCTCCTCCTTAGCCTCCACCCGGCTGGGCTGCTCCAGCAGCTCCCTGCTGAGCTCCCTGCTTGGTGGCCAACGCTGGGATCAATCACCTCAGCTCCACTGCCCGCTGCCGCCTGCCTTCATTTGCTTAATTCCGGAGGTGGCTCTGGCTTCAAACTTCCCAAAGTTTCCTAAAAAACGGGGAGTTCTTTCTCCTGGGGGCCTTGCGGGCTGTGTGGGAGATGATGCTGCGGCTCTGTTGGGCATGGCAGAGGGTGTCACCTATGGAGGCCTGTTGCCTTTTCCAAAAGCATGGAACCGTGCACCGGGCAAAACCAGGGCAGCCCTCACTCCGCTCCCGCCAGATCCGGAGGGCCCGGGGCTGGCTGGTGCACTGCTGATCCTTGGGGACCCCCTGACCCGGTGATGTCGGACATGGGGAGCACCCAGAGGGGACGGCTGGGAGGTGCTGGGGACACACGAGGTGGGCAATGCCCGCTCCTGCCTGCCAGCCGCACTGCTCCGGTGCCAAGCAGGTATTTTCCCTGCAGGACTTGTTCCAGTCCAGGCTGGAGGAGCCGGTACTATCTTATTTGCTCAAGCGCAGGGAAAGGGTTGTCCAGCTACTGTGCCTCACCTCCCCCCTCCCAGCGCTTGCCTTCCAGCCTCCTGTTCCCTCAGAAGAGGAGAGGGAGAGGTCACTCAGGGTGCTGCCTGGTGGGAAAAGCTTCCACTTCATGCCCGCTCCTCCCTGGCACCCCGGGTGGCTTCCCCGTCACTCTCGTGCCCCCCCGCCCCCCCGTGCAGGGGAGCTGTGGGCCAGGGGCTTCCCCACGGAGGAGTCGGAACAATTTGGGAAGGCGGTCACGTCACTTTGGCCGGGCGAGAACGGCATGTGAAAGGCTCGGCGGAGGCCTTATTTGGTAGCAGAGTGGCTGTGGAGAGCCCGGCTCGTGGCCCTCGTCCCCATCCCATGCCAGATCCCTCATCCCGGGGGAGCCGTGCCATGGGGAGAGGACCCCAGGGATGCTTCCCAGGGGGAATGTGCCCAGCGCGTGGATAAAATCTGCCCCCGTGTTGCATCCCCCCGTGCTCCTGCTCCCTTTCCTCCTTAAGCGTGGGGTCCGCTTTAAGGAGGGTTTGGGAGCAAGCTCCAGGCGGGACAGGGACGAGTGTGACCCGCGCCTGATCCCGCCGCTCCTCCGCTCTGTTGCAATCCCCCATCTGCTCCCTTGGCTGCTCACTGCCTTTTCCTCTGCCGCTTCCTCGTTCCAGCCCCGGCAGCTCTGGACTCGCTTTTCCCCAAGGGCTGTTCCTCTGCTCCCGTCCTTCACCGGACGTGAGAGAACCGCGATTTTCCAGCAAAGTGGCTCCGGGTGGCGAGGCCGGAGATGTGTGCCGCTCCTCCCGCATCCCCCGGGCGGAGGAGCCGGCATCCCTCGGCCTCAGCCTTGTTTATGTCGGGGAGTTTTGCGGGCTCAAGGCATGCGTACACACAGCCCGGCAATCTAAACCCAGCCGAGGAAGACGCTCCATTAGCCAAGAGACTATTTATGCCAGGACTAATCCCGGCGGGGCGGGAGCGCACCCCGCAGCCGCGGGGGAGGCGGCACCCCGCTTTGCCGGGAATGGGAGGGGAAGCCCTGCCGGCCCGGCTGCACGGCTCGATGGCAGCCCCGTGGCATCGCCCTCCCGCTGCCGCCGGATCCGGTGCCTCCCCGGCGGCGGGCAGTCAGGCGGATCATCGGCTGGTGGAGCATTAAAGCGAGCCCCGCTGCAAGGGGCGCACGCACGGACGGAAGGACGAGGGATGGGAGCTGGGCTGAAGGAGGCGATTAAATGCCTCGTGGATGAATCACCCGGGCGCCTCCCGCCTCCCCACGGCCTGTTAACGTTTACCGGGGCTGGTTTGGACAGGGCAGGGCAGGACAGGGGACCAGGACAGTGCTGGGATCCCTCTGGGACCCCTCTGGGCACTGCTTTGTGATGGGCATCCAAGCCAAGCAAATGCCCCCCTGGTGCCTCCTTACCTGCAGGAGACAAACCTGGCTTGTGGCTTCATGTGAGGAAGAGGAGGAGGAGGGCTGCTGGTGCTCCATCACAGACCTCTCCATGCTGGGGTCATCCTTGATCCACGTTCTGGAGACCCCAGTCACCTCCTGGCCCAGATCATTGCCTCTCCTTGCATGTCCTCAGCCCTAACCTCCACAGATCCTTTCCAGCATCCCTTAAACTGACCCAAGATGAGATGCAGGATTTCAGGGACAACAGACTGGGATGTGGGATGCAAAGGTGAAAGGGGACAGGCCAGACATGGGATGGAGATGATTTCCAAGGAAGAGGAGAGTAGCACAGATGAAGAGCAGACTTCCTGCAGGAAAAACAAAAAGCCAGGAGGGGACATATCAGGAGTGAGGCAACATAGGTAGGATCCAGCAGCCCTGGGAAATTTGGGAGCTGTGGGGTGCAGCGGCAGGAGCAGAGGAGTACTGTGGAAAGGGACTTGGAGCAGTCCCATGGCTGCCATCCCCATGGAAGGAAGTCGAGGTGGTCACCTTTGAGCTTCTCCTGTAGCAAACATTGGCACTGCTGACTTTTAAAAAATCTTTGGTTTCACCCCAAATTTCAGGAAAAAGGAGAGATGGAGAAATGCTCCACCAAACAGAAACTGAAAGATGTTCATACAGCAGAACTGAAACAGCTCAGGCTGTCCAAAAATACGGCGGGGTTTAAGCTGGGGGAATCCCATGCTCCAGTGCCCTTTAATCCTTGCTGGAGAGCTGTCAGTCTGGCCCTGTCCCATGACATCCTTGGGAGCAGATGCCATGCCTGATCCACCTCTCTGAAGGAGAAATTCTTCCCTGTGGAAGAACAGATACGTGCCTGCTGCCTGGCCATTTCTCTGATAAGGCTTTTTTTTTTTTTTTTTTCAGGGAAGGATTTTGCCCTAGGAGTGTTTCTGTTAGAGGATGGGGACTGAATCCCTGGGATTTCAGCACAAAAAAACCTGGACTACCTCCCTGTGGGCCAAAGCTCCCCTTCCATTTAAGGGCAGGAGAAATATTTCTGTCTAGAATCTTTCCCTTGGCAAAAGGGTATCTGTGCAGCCTGCTGGGATTGTCCCCAAGGATGCTCCCTTGCTCTGCCATCCCGCCTGCTCGTTACCCAGCAAGAGATGCTGTTCATGTAGGACCTACTCCAACATCCCTGGGGCTGGGTGCATTTGTGGGGCGCAGATGGGGAGCACCCAGGAGCTCGTACCCGTCCCCTGCCCTGGGCCCCAAAAACCCTTTTGGGGCTGGAATCCAGCTGGGGGATCCTTTAGAGCCCTCCTCCCTCTCGCCAGTGTATAATTTTACAGATTCAAACTTGGCCGACCCGCATTTGAACTTGCAAAGAAAACAAAGTCATTAGAGAAGAGAAGCCCTTCCTCTGTGGGGCTGAATTTCGGAGGGCTCCTTGGGATCTTTCATCTCTGTCTCTCTCCCATGTGGCTTTGGGGACAAATGGTCTGGCAGGCTTGGGCATGCACGGTTTGGATATCAGGGATGCAAACTGGCAGCGGGTTCCCCACTTCCTCTCACTGGTCCCTGGTGTCTCCTGAAGCTCCCCAGGGAGAGGAGAGGCAGGAAGCCAGGGATGGCTCCAGGGATGGCTCCAGGGATGGCTCCAGGGATGGGGGAAGACAGGGGACGCCCTGCAGGGATGCTCAGGATGTAAACCCACCTGGGAGGGTGCATGTGTCTGGAGAGCCGATTCCCTGGGATTCCCTGAACAGCAGCTGTGTTCAGGAGGACCTGTGTGAAAGCCAGTATTTTTCACCCTAGGAAAGGAAAAGGTTGTTTTCTTTAGGTTGAATTTCATGGACATAAGGGGAGATTCTCCAGGTGAATCCCTCTCTAGCCCCTGCCAGGAGAAACTGGGGCAATGTCTCCACTGGGGGATGGGGCAGCACTGAACACTGTGGGATGCTCCATCACTCCGTGGTCCCAGCAGACAAACAGAAAGCTGGCAGGGGTCCCCTGAGGAGCTCTGGGGGATGGTCCCAATAGAGGGGACAGGCTAGTAACCCTGGCTCAGGAAGGGGTGAGGACACCCATTCTCTGCTGATCTCATCCAGCCTGGATGCTGGTACCCGCAGGGATGATGATGATGATGATGATGATGGTGATGGTGATGATAATGCTGGCACCCAGGGTGGGTATCACCGGGGCTGTTGACACAAGAGCTGTGTGCAAACAGCTGAGTACCTTTTGTTATTTAATAGATATAGGTCAGCCAGAGGTTTTGTTCCCCAAAGCAGGAATGTTTGCTGCTCCCAGGCTGGGAGATGGGGGAGATAGCTTATCTGCAAGAGAAAGAAGTAATGTCAGCAAAAGAATAGGCCTGGCCTGGCTGTTTCTGGCTGTTTCCCATGTCTCTTTCCCAGGGAATGGGGCAGGCAGAGTGCTTGGCCAAAAAAATTAAATAAAATACATGGAGGTTTTCCCCTTCTACAGCCCAAAGTGTTAGGATGAGATTTTGGGGATGAGGAGAGGAACAGCAGCTTCAGTTCCCCACCCTGCTCTCCTGGTTACAAGCTGGTTGTAAAGCAAAACCATCCCAGCACAGGATTTGCCCATCCTGGAGGAGCCCCACATCCCCCCTCAGGGTGGTGGGAGCAGAATTTCTGCCAAACATCCCAGCTTTGAGGATGCTGCACCACGATAAACATTAGATCCACCCAAAAAGGGTTAAAATCCCTTAAAAGGTGACTTTTACAAACCAGGCACAAGTGTTTAAATCCAGCCCTCTCTAAACCAGGGCTTTTCCTCCAGGAGGAAGAGCTGGTGTTTGCTTCTCCCAGTCCTTAATGAGCTGCTGCAATTAAACTGAGACAATAGGCATTGTCCAGGATCTGCTGGGGATGATGGGAGAAATCCTGTTTGCCAGACCGGGGTAGGAAGGTGCTGGGATTCTGTGAGCTTTTTAACCTGGAGAGGACTGCTGGGGTGAGGACAGGTCCCTGCTACCTTTCCATGGTGCCTTAGCAGCTTCCTCCATGGCCGCATGAAGGATGAGGCCACCCCTCCCAAAAATTCAGCATCACTCAAGCATGATGCAAAACCAGCACATTGGCTTAAGGCTTTTGTCTGCTCCCCTGTCCCTCTGGCTACAGGGAGCATGGTCTATCCCCAAGTTAGGGACAAGAGAGGGTCCCCAGGAACCTCCTTTCTTCTTTTCCAGGTGAGGACACTCTTTGTCAGTGGGTTGCCTCTGGACATCAAGCCCCGGGAACTTTACCTGCTCTTCAGACCCTTTAAGGTATCACACTGGGGAGGGAAAGGGGGGGCTGAAAGCATGGGGTTGGCCTCTGCCCCAGCCCCATGGCCCCAAACCACTTGGGAACCCATCATCCCACCATCTGGGAACCCACTTAAGTCTAATTCAGTCAGTTTATTCAGTTATTAGTATTTAATTGCGGGGATCTCCACCAAAAACCCTTTTTAATCCTTTCCTTGCAGGGGTACGAAGGGTCACTCATCAAACTCACCTCCAAGCAGGTAGGAGCTGCTCCACATGGTGTAACCATCCCACCATTCCCCGGGGTTAGGGGCTCTCCTCTGTGCTCCCCAGGAACCTGACTGATGGCTCCTGTCCTTCCTCCACAGCCCGTGGGCTTCGTCAGCTTCGACAGCCGCTCTGAGGCGGAGGCAGCCAAGAACGCGCTGAACGTGAGTGTGCCTGGCTCAGCCACTCCATTGCTACATTTTCCCCTTGTTTCCCTGTCCCCAGAGACTCTCTGAATTCCTCCATCCCTAGGATGTGCACCTCCCATGCCAGCCAGCCCCATGGCATCCCAATCCCTCCAGACAATCTTGTTTCTCAGCTGCATCCTCCCTCCTGGGGAGCTGCGTCACTCTCACCTTTCTCAGGGCCATCCAGGAGGGCTTAAACACTCAGGACTTGAGCCTTAGATGCAAGTGAGTAAGAGTATTCCCTGTTTATTCAGCAGGAAAAATCCCAGCTAAGCCTGCAAAAGAAAAAAACGAATTTCACTTTCTTTTAGCAACTTGTGAAGTTACCTGAAAATAATCACAGGCAGAACTGTGTGGAGCTGGTTCTCCAATTCCTCCCCAGCTCTCCCTGAGTTTCGGTTCAGGGTTGCTTTTTTCCTTCTCTTCATTTTCAACGTAAAACTTTTTTTTTTTTTGGCTCCACTAATCCCTCTGGATAAGAGCTCGGCCTTGCGGGATGCTGACTGCCAAATATGGTGCCGATGCTAAAGATGCCGGAGGAATGTGAGCCGCCTCGGGGCCCGGCAAATTAGCTCATTTCAGGGCTGCAAGTTGAAAAAAACCCATAAATAACGGGGAGTTATTTTTGCTGCGGGGCCGGCACGCGGCAGTGCTCACCCACCCACTGCGCCTCCTTCCCTCCTTCCCTCCCTCCCTTCCGCAGGGCATCCGCTTCGACCCCGAGATCCCCCAGACACTGCGGCTGGAGTTTGCCAAGGCCAACACCAAGATGGCCAAGAACAAGCTGGTGGGCACCCCAAATCCCAGCACCCCTCTCCCCACTGCTGTACCTCAGTTCATCACCCGGGAGCCCTGTGAGTACCCCCTGCACTGCCAGCAGGGCTTGGGCTGGCAGGCACCAGGGATATTGGAACTGGAAGGAGGGGGGACATCATGAGGGGGTGGCCAAGGGGAATACCAGGTCCCACTGGGAGAGTTGGTGCCTGCTTGCTGCGCGGTGGCACGTGCTGGGGTTTCCCAAAGGAGAGGACCTGGCACAGGTGAGAGCCAGCAGGGTGAGGTCTCAGGAGAGGCCTTGGCAATGCCCTGCTGTGAGTGCTCCATGCCCGTTGCCACTTCTGGAAGAGCTTCTCTCGTGCAGACTCCAGCTCCTCACCCTGCTGTTGTACACAGGCATGAGCTGCACACTCTGCTCTGCTGAATCCCTGGTTTTACTAAACCTCTTGGAGACAAGGAGCCCAGCCCCAGCTCCCTGAGTGACACCCCCAGCCCCATAGCATTGCTCACCTTGTGTTATCCCAGTGGGAGAATGCTGTGTTAGCTTTGTGAGCCAGCTCTCAGTGGTAGCATCTCACAGTTTTCCAGGGGCAGCTCTGCTCCTGCATCAAGGGGAGAAGGAAGGATGCAGCGAGGGTCACAGCCCTCTGGTCACCATTAACTCTCCCTCTTCTTCTCTTGCAGATGAGCTCACAGTGCCTGCACTTTACCCCAGTAGCCCTGAAGTGTGGGGGCCGTACCCTCTGTACCCAGCGGAATTAGCACCTGCTCTACCTCCTCCTGCTTTCACCTACCCCGCTTCGCTGCACGCCCAGGTAATTCCAACCATCCACCTCCACTGCTCACCCTCCCTCCTGCCCTGGCCCCCCTTCCCCTCGGTGCTCACTGCACCACTAACTCTGCCCGGCTCACAGGCACTCACTCCTCGCTCCCTGAGAGTTAGGGAAGGCTCCCAAATGGAGCAGAACGCTGGCAGGGGTCCTGTCTTTCCCCAGACTCCTCTCTCTGCCTTCCTACTTTCGCTGGTACCTATGGTGGGGCAGGTGGTGAGGGAGGAGGGAGGGCTGGGGATGCCCAGGGTCTGGACCATGCCCATCACTCCTGGCACTGAACCATCCGGCTGCCAGTGTGAGGGGGGTTCCAGAACCCCTGGCTGCCCCTGCAGCATGGCTGGGATGCTCTTCATGGATGTGCTGCTCATGGGGTGTGAAGGCAAGCAGCTCTCACGGGGAGGAGAAGGAAGTGAAGCACAAATGGAGGGTCCATCTTTTATTGACGAGGAGCTGCCTCGTCACAAGCGCTTTCTGCCGGCTGCTGCTGGCCCCCGATGGCAGCATGGGCTGTTAAAAATTAACCATCCGCCTGGGAGAGGAGCGAGGGAAAGAGGAGGAGAGGTGGAAATGGTGGAGGAAGAGGATTTCTTTGCAGTGCCAGCCTTGCATCATCATGGGGATACTGGCAAAGGACCCCTGCCACAAGGGGGAAAGGGCAGCTACCTCCTCAGCATCCATGCTGGGCAGCACCCTGGCTTTTGCTCCTTGCTGCCAGCTCCAGCTCAGTGATGAACAGGAGGTAACAAGCACATGGAAATAGACTTGCCAGATAAACTGCATCCAAAAGGCTTTTGGCCTTGGCCCACCAGGATTGAGCCAGGTTATCCAGAGCCACCATCACTGAGAGCTGGAGCAGCCAGGGGCTGGTTTGAGCAGAAGGGTGAGGAAAATTGCTCAGTGTGCAAACCATGTGCAGCCTTTGGATGAAACTCCAGCTTTCTGGGCCCTGCTGTTCATAGGAAGAGCGTTGGTAAATATTATTGCAGCTACGTACTTGCCTTGTCAAATAACTGCTAACAGGCAGCACCTGCCCTGCTCAGGGAAGCGCACAGCCAAAGGAACAGGCATACAGAAGCTCTGAGGGTCCCTTGGGAAAACCCAGGCTGAGACCTAATGTTAGACAGAAGCAATATTACCTGATGTGAAATATCAGCCTGCTGGGGAGGGTGCTGGCGGCACCTTCCCATCCTCCCGTGCAGCTGCTGGGGTTGTGGCTCTACTGGGTGGGGGCTGGAGACTGGTGCCACCATCCAAACTGGAGCTGCCTCGCTGGATCCTGCAGACAGTAGCAGGACCGGGAACTGTAGGATGGACGGTGGAGCTGGCTTGGAGTTTTCTGGCAGAGTACTGAGTGCCTGCATATCAAATTTTGGCATCTGATGTTTTCCACCCTGTTTCAAGTGGGCTTTGCAGGAGCTGAGAAGAATGAGCTCACTCCTGCTCAGTAGGACCATGGTGCTGCTGTCCCAGCTCCATCCTGCTGGAAGCAGCCATGCCAGGGGCTGTGCTCAGCCTCAGTGTTACTGTTGGAATTGGAGCTGGGATGGCTGTACTGCTGTTCCAACCTCCCTCCGCCCTGTGCCTGGGAAAAGCCGGGAAAAGCCAGGAAAAGGGAGCCCAGCCACAGCCTGATGTTGCCAGGGTGGGCAGCCAGCCCCTCCCTCTCACCTTGTGTCCCCCCTTGCCTTGGCAGATGCGCTGGCTCCCTCCCTCCGAGGCTGGTTCTCAGGGCTGGAAGTCCCGTCAGTTCTGCTGAATGCCGGGTGAGTGCCGCTGTCCCATCCTCCTGGGCCACCTGGGGACCACCTCTGCCCTGAGCTTCCCAATGTGACTCCCAGGCTCTCCAGCAGCTCAGGGTGGGTGGCCACTTTTCAGCAGACACCCCAAGTCCAATTGCCCTCCTTGTCCCCAGAAAGGGATGTCTGTGCCACCATTCACTTTCCCACATGTCCTGGGGCAGGAGGGAAAGGCACCATGCCAGAGGCAGGTGTTGTGATGGAAAAGGCAGCCCTGACACCATCACCTCATTAAACCTTAAGGAAAGTTATCCAGGTAGCCTGGGGTGGTGGGGGTGCCAAAACAAGAAGCACAGCCTTACCAAGCACCCAGCTGCCCGGCAGGAGGGAGGGATGATCCCATTCCATCTGGGACCTCTTTGGATGGAAAAAGCCTTGCAAGATACGCTCTGCAAATAACTTCGGCCTTTGTGGATAAATAAACAAAGGGGACTCACATAGAAGAGGGAAACGAGCCTTGGTGGACACTGAGCACTGCTTGCCCTGCAATCCCAGCCTGCCTGGACCACCCTAGCCAGGAACAATCCCTGCTGGGAAGCCTCCAGCTTCCACACCCGCCTGTGGAGAAATGCCAGTGGATCCAAAGCTCTGGCATCAGCTGCCCATGCTCACATGTGACTGCTCTGCCCATCTGCCTGGCATCTGCAGCCCTGGAGGTCACTCAGCTGGGAGGCCACAAGGCCCACAAGGCCCAGCCCTGGCTGCAGCCGGCCTCAGACTTGGATCCATAAAGAATTCACTGGCTATTTTAGGCCCAGCAGATAAAAATAGGGAGTAGCGAGGCTTTGGGAACCAATGGTTCTTCCAAAATATGCAACATGCCAATGTTTCCAGATAAAATGTGAGCAGAGACACTTTTGGGAAGGGGAGATGAGCAAATCCCTTGAAACAGGTCCACCAGCCCAAGAGCCACAGTGGGTGGTGATGGAGGGTCAGGGATCTCCTGTTTCCCTTCCAGGCTGCTCCAGCTGGGAAGGGCACAGAAGGTTTGGCTGAGGGCCTGGCTCTCCTGCCTGCATCTGTCTGGATTTGCTGCCTGGAGCCCATCATGGCAGGGCTAATCCCACGCTAATTCCAAGTTAGGTTGGAAAAGACACCTGAGACCACCAAGTGCTACCTTTGCCCCAGTAAACTGCAAGCTGTCCCCTTGGGAAGTGCCAGCTGTGGGTCCCTGTGAAATCACCCCTGCCCACAGCACACTGACCCTCAGTCCCCAGTTCCAGCATCCCTCACTCTCTGCCGTGTCCTCCCACAGGTCTCAGGTGTGTGATGGTGGCCTACAGTCAGTCTTGTGGGTATTAATGGAGTCTTCCAAGGTGGCTACTGGGTTGGTGTGCTCTCCACAGGACCTCAGTGTGCTGGTAAGGATGCCACCCTGCAGGCTAGGCTGCTTCGGGAAGGGGGCAGAGGAGTGAGGAAGTCAACACAATGTCCCTGAGGAACAGGCCCTAAGGTTGGCAGGGCCCTGGGGCTGCTCCAGCTACTGCCCTGCAGAGTCATGGCTCTGCCATTCCCCTGCATGGCTGTTATCTGGGGTGAGAGTTTCTACAGCCAAGGAATGCCTCTCATTACCCTGCTAATCTCATCTCCCTCCTTGCTTCCTGCCTTGGATCAACAGAGACCTGAATTCCTCTTAACTGCAAAACTCACACTTAACTCCCGGCTTCCCACTTCCAGCCCCAGGGACTGCAGCCAGCAGGAGGAACAAAGTGGGATCAGTGGGGTTCTTTGTGCCAGGGATGCTACAGTCTCTCCCTGCAGGCAGGTCCCACCTTGCCCTTTCCCTGCTAAACAACTGTCCTTAGAGCAAGGTCCTGACACAAAATTTCCAAAACAAGCCTCCCTCTCCCCCCTACCTTGCTTCCTTCCTTCCACGAAGGAAGAGAGATTAACCACAGCCCTTTTTCCTCCATCACAGCTGCTCTTTTTTTTTAACACCTCTCTTTGTTCTTTCAGGCTTGAAAAAAACCTCACACACAAGTTTGGATTCCTCCAAGACTTTCCCACAGCCTCTATCACACATCTGCTCTCCTAGAAGAAAAAAGAAAAACATACCTAGTAATAATATTTTCCTCTTTTACACTGTATATTTGTAAGGAAGAGTGTGTTACTCCCGAAAGCATGGTTTGACAGGCATTGTTGTAGTGTTTGAAAAGCCTTTTCAAATGGAACCATAGGAAAGCAGACTACAAAAAAAGAAAAAAAAAAAAGAAAAAAGAAAGTAAAAGGAAAAAAAGCAAAACAAGAACCAATATTTTTGTACCAAAGCTCCTCAAGAGGACAATCTTATACCAGGTCGGACCACAGGCTTTGCGCTTGACTTTTGAGGTGTGTAAAGCAGAGTCTTATTATCCCCTGGCCCTGGCAGCTGCATGTGGAAGGCACGATGTTCAAAAGCGTGAGGATGTCGACACACACGATGCGGGTTTGCAGGAACTGTGCTCCCCTGGCACAGGAACTGTGTTCTGGCTGTGTTGGCAAGGCGACTGCAGACACTAAAGTATTACTGTTCTCTTCCCAGTTGCACCAAATGACCAGCAGGCAGGACAACCAGGAACTTCCTTCCCGTGTTTTTTTTACCTTGGGGCTGTGTTCATAGCTGCTGTGCAAAGCTTCCATGGGGTACAACAACTCGGATCAGGGATGGGCAGGCAGCCCACACGTGTAGCAAGGTGACTGCCTCCTCCTCCTCCTGCTACCATGACTGCTCCAAGCTGTTACAGGCAACATAATCTGCTGTATGAAAAAACATACCAACAAATCCTTGGTTTGCCAGCTCCCTCCAGGTTGGACATGAGTCCTAAGGGGCTCCCGTTATCCGGAAGCACTGGCCTGGCCTGGCCTGTGGTTTGAGTGCCAATTTTACGCTGCTCCAGCTGCTCCCTGCGTGGCATTCCCATGTTTCCATGTGCAAAGATGAGAAGGGAGGCTGTCAACATCCTTTACAGAGATAGAGTACCAGCAGAGAGACTGCTTGACATACTAGTTCTCCTTCTCCTTGCTCTAGGAGGAATTTGGAAAAAGAAGAGAGCAAACTGACCCAAAAGCTCTATCAGTTTCCGTTTCTTGCAAAGGGAGGTGCAGAACTTCTCCTTCCATTGCGTTTCCCCCATCTCTATTCCAGCTGCAGGGAACACTGAGCTCAGCTGCTGCCCAGGCCTCACTGTAGCCGGTTTTTCCTGTGGCCTTGTTAAACATCATCACCTTTTCCTTTCTCCTTCCTCTTGTCCTGTGGGTGGGCTACAATAAGATGGCTGAGATTCTCGCCGTCAGGGTAGGACAGGGGGAGGAAAAAATGGGGTCACCAGTTTCACCATCAGAAACTGTCCCGTTGGGGTCTTCTGTAAAAAATGGGCTGATAAAAGTGATGTGAGAAGAAATCAAATCCAAGACAAACCTCAGAGCGGCTCCAAAAGGAACGATACCAGCGTTCCCAAGCGACGGATTAACTCTTTTAGCAAACTATTTCCTGTACTTTGTCTCGTGGAGAGGAGAGAAGCTTCCATATTGTCTACTCTGCTTTTGGAAATATGTTTAAAGGTACTTTTCTATTGTAATTTTTTAAAAATAAAACCGGTGATTATTATAAGTTACGTGCAGAGCGTCGCTGTGTGCTGTGTATCCGGCTGGGAACAGGGAGAAGGATCCCAGCACACCCCTCAGGGCCTTGGCAAACATCAGCCTCTTTCCTCCCTCGGGAGCAGCTGAAAGCACTGTAAGGCTCCTGGGTGATTTTTCAGGGTAGATGCCATTGTCCTGTTTGGCTCTCTTGGATCTCTAGGAAAGCTCCATAATCCAGGCTGGAAGGATCAGCAGGCTTTAAAGAAATGACTCCAAGTTTACAAAGATGTTATCGGTTAGTTTTAAACCTACTAATCTTGGCACAGAGCACAGGAGCTGGGATGCAATTTTCCATGAGCTCAGCCTCGGCTGAGGCAAACGTAACCTAGAGACCAAGGGCCAGATTAGCTGTGTATTTTTTTTAACACGCTGGGAATTTTGAAAAACTCCAGTTTGTAAGCCCAACCTAGAAATTCCTCCTCCTTTCTTTGCTCTGCTCCCACCCTGACAAATGTGACCAGCATCCCCAGGAGCTTCAGCCAACACACCAGGCTTCAAAAACAAAGTGCCAGGAGCAAGCTCCAGCTTAGCAAAAGCAGCCTGGCAAACGGGGTGTAAAGGACAGGATTAAAAAAGCTACAAGCTCCAGGGTGGAAGGAAGAGGCATGGCAGTTATTTGAAACCCCTGGCTGGCAGGGATGAGTTAAACCCTTAATGTTGGATGTTAATCCCGCTGTGGCCACCGAGAGTCACAGCTTTCACAGCTTTCCTTCCGAGCTGCATCCAGTGGAGAGGTCTGTTGGCAGGCACGGGGGAGGAAGGGAAGGGAGCCACAACACTGCTGCTCAGCCCAAGAGCTGCTCTGAGCAGCAGCAACTGGCCAAAACCTCTGTCCCAGGCACCACTTTGAGAGACACACAGATGTTTTTGGGAGCGGATTCAGCAGCAAACATCCTGCAGCTAAGAGAGCCATGAAACATGCACACATCCTGGACTTCGCCTGGGCATTGCATCTGCTCGCAGATCTGCCCTGCGAAAGGAAGTGGGGCCTTGCCCAAAATATTTAACCTCTTGAACCATTTTTATTTTTCTGATTTCCCCCAAAAGCCAGCCTGCTTTTGTCTCTGTGCTGATGAGCATTGCCCTCATCAGCAAGGGGCCGGAGCAGGCTGCTGCTCGCCTGGCGTCCCCTTTGCCCGCGGTGACCTTTCCCCCTGCGGCCGGCCGGGGGAACATTCCTTCCCTGTGACCACTGGGGCACTTACAGGAAGGCCCAAGCTGCTGGCTGACGCTGGAGAATTGCAAAACGGGATCAGGGACTCCCATGCCAGAGCTGCCATCCGATACCAGGGAAAAGTCCTGGGGGATATGAACAGGCAGAGCTGGAAAAACCAAAGCA